TGATGGCAGTGGGAGGCACATTATTGTTTTCAGGAGCCATCAAGTTGCCTCTGCCCCGTAGTGGGACCCCATGCGCAACAGAAGGAAATGCCGCCTGGGCAGCGCCATGGTTTTATCCTTGAGCCCATTGCTGCAGCCACGGTGTCAGTCCATCTCATTGAGGGCCTCCCCTGTTTTGCTGCCCCGCTACTGTCCCAAGCAGCATGTCCTTCTCCAAAGACTGGTCTCTCCTAAAAACGGATCCAAAAGATGAGAGACCAGATCGCACCATCCACGCCTCTCAGGAGCATTCTGGCAGTACTTCTCCCAGGACAGGTCTGTCTATTCTAGAATAGCCCCACCCCTCACCCCCACCCACATTTAATGATTGGTGAATTGAAGCCTCTGTGTCTGTGACTATGGTCCCATTTTGAATGGGTTGTCCATTACGTTAATGAGGCAGGATTAGGATGTATCTTGAATCACCAATTTGCTAGAAGCTTTGACTCGGGTCACCACTGTTCCCCCTACTCTGCACCTGCCACACCCTTGCACCACTTTGCTAAAGTAAGGAGAGTTCCCTGAAGACCATGACCTGCAGCCAGTATCATATTGCGAGTGCTCTGAATCCTGCCTCTGGCTTGTTTTATCTGAACTCTGGCCTCTGGGATGTGAGTCAGCATTCTCTCCTCTGATCTATTTCATAAACGTCCTCTGCCCAGTGAGCCCCCCACCGGTCATCTGACCTGTCCATGTGGGTTCATTGATCCTTCCAAGGATGTGAGTATGGAAAGGTCTCCAGACTGATGATTGACCCACTAACTTGGGACCTCGCCATCTCCACAAGCACTTGAGCCATTTCCCTCGTGGTTCCTGAGTCCTGGGAGACATTCGTTCCATGGAACAGCAGAACCCAAAGATTGGGGAGAGAGCAGCTGATGGTAGAGATGATGCAGTGGGAGAGCAGTTTGGAAAAGGTAGGCATTTAGGGCATCAGAGCAACTTTGACCTCTACTTCATAGGAACCAGCTTTGTGCTGCTGCTTCTAAAAGAAATTATTCTTACACTGGCATTTGCACTGCTGTAAGAATTATGTGCATTGAGCACACTTCTACTTGTTTGTGATATTGATAAGATTGTTCCATAGTTCCTGTATTCTGTTGGATGACCTTTCTTTGAAATGGTTAGCCAGGCAGCTATCTTCCAGGTGTCTAGCATAGATGAGTAAGCACTTCCAGCATGGCAGCCTTTTCTTGAACTATCTCAGTTAGTGCCCCATCAATTCCTGAACCTTGTTTTACTCTAGTGCCTTCAGTGCACTAGAGTAAAAGACTTCTATCTTCTAAACTTCTATCTTCAATGCCATCAGCTCTTGATCATATGCATGCTACCTCCTGAGAGAACTGAACATCAACCAAATTTTTTGGTGCTGTGACTCTGTGCATTCCTCCTCTCTTCTTTTGGTTAGGGAATGAACGTGTATGTTACTTAAGATTCCAAGACCACTTCAGTTTTACATTGCCTCCCTTTTAGTCACTCAGACCAATGCTTAGATTTGAGGCATAAGAAATCTGGAGCGTTATTAAGGGTGTGAGCCTTTTCTCCCTTAAAAACTTTAACTATTTGTGTCAGTCTGGGTACTTTAGAGAAACAAATCCACAGAAACTCATGTAT